GTATCGCTGAAGTTCCTCGGAAAGAATTTATACCGGAAATTAACAAACAAACATATATGTAACAATATGTTTGATTGTAATACTTGATAACTAAATATAGTATAGTTAGAACCAGGGCTTTTTTTTTAGATGGTATCCACTGGTACCATTTTTCATATTGCAAAATGGAGTGAAAGGTGACAAAACTTGAAAGAGTAAATTAATTAAATATTTTAATATTTCTGTAAATTAATGTGTGAATTTTCCCCTTTGAACAAATATTTTGTTCACAAAAAGACCAGAGACACCAAACTAAAAGTGTTACAAATGACAAAGTTTTAAGGAGTGTGAAATCCTACTGTTTGTTTGATCATGTGTGTGTGTGTGATCATCAGTGCAGCATGAGGTGTGAACCATCAGTGAGGATTAGTGTGCCATTAACAGGGAACATCAATGGTCTCTTGCTTTTAACGTGGCTGCTATCAGTCGATGTACAGTAGTGGCCTCATTTTGATTAACAGGTTTAAAATGGGCAGCGGTAGGTAAAAGCCAGCCAGGGTGGATGCAATACTGAGTTCAAAGAGGCCACTTGGGACTGGGAAACAGGTGACCACAAGCTGAGTGGACTGGTATGTGGATATGGACTATACATTTGTTCAAAATAAAATAAGTCACAAAGTGGACGAAAACGACTGACATCATTAATTGCATAATAAATGGGAATAAGTTGTTTTGGTCTGACATGCTCAGTCAATTTGAGTGGGTGTGCATTTCTCTTCTACTGTGCTTTGATTTTACTTTGACCAAGAGTGTATATCATTTTTATTGCATCTTGAGAAAACACCCCAACATAAAAATGAAACAAATTACAAGTTTCTTTTCACCTTCTGTGAGTAAGAAAAGTAGAATAAGTGACCCAAGAACAGGAATTAACAGTTTCTGTTCCTGGTCCATCTGGTGTCCATGAGCTATCTGACAACGACTGGCCTAGCTGCTGGACTTCCAATCAAAATAATGATTTTTGCAGGAAGTACGATTGGCTGAATATTATAAATAAAAAACTTGGAACTTTTGTAGTGGAAACGAAGTCAGGAATGAAAGTTTCTAAAGAATGGTCCAACAATGAAATAACTTATTTTGGTGAAAGTCAACAGCAACAGCTTCTATCTTTGCAAAAAAACTTTTCAATCACAAGGAAACCGTGGGACATAAAACTGCAGTAAAATTGTTGGTTGAAGCTGAGAAAGAGACCATTGAAAATGCATATTTGAAAGTATTATATCGCAGAAAAGTGATTATCACAATAATTTTTTGCACAACATGTAAGGTAGCAAAAGAAAACCAATCACTTCATAATTTGGAATCTGAAATAGATTTACAAGAACTAAGTGGAATTGACATAGGCTATATCCTTCACTCAAAAATGCATGTATTAAAATCATGAATCACATTAGTGATGAAATTAAAAAATACTAATTAACATAGTTACTAAATCAAAAAGTAGAATTTCATTGATAATCAATGAGTCAACTTCTTTAAGTAAAAAATCTACCTTAATAATGTACGTTGGAATCTGTATCCCAGATAATGGAATGAACTCACCGGTAAATTTATTTTTTGACTCGAAAATGTTACTGCAAAAGGAATGGTGCAGTTGGGGAGTAAAAGTGGAGTTAAGAAACTGAGAAAGACAAATTTCCTTCTGTAGTTGTGTGGCATTGTGCTAATCACAGATTAGAACTGTCGGTCGGTGACACTGTAAAATCAGTCTCAAGGATTAACAGATTTAAAGCATTTATTGATAAAATTTATGTCTTGTATCACAAGTCACCTAAAAATAGCAGAGAACTGAATGTGATGGGTGGCATCTAGTTTCTGGTCAGTTCCAGATGTTTGGAAAAACTATGAAGCATTAGTGCAACATTTCAAAGAAGCGAAGCATGATTCAACAAGATACAAAAAAAGAGCAATGTGCATAGGAGGGCTTACAGTGAAAAATTATAACCACAGAATTTCTGCTGGATCTAGGATTGATGTGTGATGCTCTCCAAGAATTATCCGAATTGAGTTTAGACTTACAAGAGTGTGATACAGACTTGTACAAGGCGGATCAAAAGCTCTTGTACAAAATTTTGAAGAAAGACAAATGATTCCAGGCCCATATTATAAAAATACTGCCGAAGCCACCAAAAATCTTCACTTCCGGGGAGTTTCACTTCACGAAATTGCAAAACAGATCCTCTGGTTAATCTGGAAGCTTTTTAACAGAACCTTAAAAAAATCAATTGAAAATAGGTTGCTTGATAGTGAAGATGGCGATATAGCACAGTGTGCACGTGTGCTTGATAAAAAACATTGGCCTGAAAATGTTGATGCTCATTTAACATTCGGAGAGGTTAGGAAATTATCAATAAGACTTCAGCTAAAATGAAAGAGATATAATTCACAGATTCCGTCAGTATTTGATTGAAAAGACGGTCTCAGA